CAGCTGTGGGTGGAGAGAGCCCCAAATGGTTTGGATGCATTTTAAAGCCCTCTCCTGAATGTTCATGTAGCTTAGTGATGATGAGTCTTTACATGGTACTTGCCACTATGGGTTCATAGATCTCCTTGCACTTGCTGGAGTAGGACAACGCTGTTACCAGACAAAATAGAGAGCAGTTAGAGAGTCTCAAGAAGAGAGACATCTCCTCCGTGAATCTTGGCACGGACCAGGGCAAGCATAGGCTTAGAAGAAACTTTCCAGCTGCAGAGCTCCTAGTCAGCATGTGTGCTAAGGGTGAATTGGGCCTTTAGCTTTCCTTTGGCTTTGGCAGGCCTTCCGGGAAGAGTATTCCAGACTGTATCTACTGGCCAAAGAGACCCCGACGCCTCAGAGCGACCCCCGGTTGCAGCATGTGCTTGTCTACTTCCTGCAGAACAACGCTCCCAAGCAGGTGGTGGAGCGGACGCTGCTGGAGCAGTTTGCGGACAAGAACCTCAGCTACGATGAACGGTTCGTACCAGCAGACCTGATGCTGTCTTTGGGACTCGGTGTTCCCTAGCCTTAGCGCTCTAATCCTTCTGTCTCTGAGCAGGTCCATTAGTATTATGAAGGTAGCACAAGCTAAGCTGAAGGAGATTGGCCCTGATGATGTGGATATGGAAGAGTACAAGGTAAGGGACTAAGTATAGCTTTCTCTTCTCTCTAACGTCTTTGTACCAAAAGTGTCCTAGTGCAGTGCACAGATGACAAGCACAGTGCAAGCAGACAGCATTGTTGTTCCCATATTGGTCAACCCCTTCCTCCTTGAAGCATTAGGACCTGGCTTCTTGAGACAGATGAGTGCTGGCAGGGATATTTAATGTGTCCCACTCCGTTATCACAAGTTCTGCAGTACTTGTTTCTGCAGCAGACGTGGTCCAATTTGGAGCCACGTGGCCAGCTTCTCACATCTGGCAAAGCAGCATCACTGTGCCTGAGCGGCAGAAGTCAAGGTTGTTCCGTGGGTAGGGGTTGTGGAGCAGTAATTCTGGGCCCCAAAAGGAAAGCTGAACAGTGCCACAAACCTGATGACCATGGTTTGTTATGGGAGGTTGAAACAGAGCCAGTAAATTGGGAGCTTGCATTGAGCTGGTGTGAGCTCATGTACCACATATTAAGAGAGAACTTGGCATAGACTTGAATGGGTTTTGCACTGCCCTCCCCCAAAGCCAAGATGGGCATGGGTCGCATATGTGGGGCACTCTATAACTTACCTACAGTTCTCTAATTAGACCGTGAGAAAAAGGACCCTGAGTCTAGGGTAAAAACAAATGCATACTCAGCCTGTGGCAAAGAGCTGGCAGCTAGGTGCATGTATGAAAGCACACTTCATCTGTGATGTTTCTTTTTTTTCCATCTGAACAGAAATGGCACGAAGACTACAGCTTATTTCGCAAGGTGTCTGTTTATCTGCTGACGGGGTTGGAGCTCTACCAAAATAGGAAGTAGGTTGCTCTTTTATATATTTTTCCAATGCCCTTTGTGCCTGATGCACTGATGCCCCTTTCTGTACTGCTGCAAAGCCAACCTTGAACCATAGTACATCTGTAAATAGAGCAGAAAATATGTGGAAAAGCAATTCCATTTCACGAGGGGTGTCGTTAGTGCACAGTTCAGATCCAGACAAAACCGCGCCACTGTGAAGGTCCTGGTGAAGGGGAACGGGTCTCTGACTTTGCAGGCACTCACTCAGAAGTGCAACAAGTGTTTGTGGGCCCCGGGCTAGGTTGAGGTGGAGCCTTGTTGAAATCGAACTCCAAATGTTTAGGTGCTGAATTTTCAAATTTTAGCTAAATATTGTTCACTTGAAAGATTTCTGACTGGCTCCAGTTATAGGAAACTCAGAGAACCCGAAAATGCTGTTCTCAGCTTCTGTCAGTCCTCTTTGTCTCCAAATGCCAGTGGAAACTAGGAGAGACAGCTACACCTACTGTAAAAATTACAGTTGGAGTTAATTGGAAGTTTTGTTCGTTGGGTCCGACACCGGCCCCTCTCTGGGAGGAAGTGGGTGGTCTTTCCTGGGTGACCGCCTGGTGAGCAGAGGTAGGACCGTGATGAAGGTGGTGGGGTGGCTGGCACCTGACACTTCCCTCCTTCTAAAAGGTACCAGGAAGCGCTGACCTACTTGGTGTACGCCTACCAAAGTAACACCACCCTGCTGAGGAAAGGGCCTAACCGGGGAGCAGACGAATCACTGATTGCTTTGTACAGAAGAAAATGCCTGCTGGTTTGTATCGATGAGTCCTAGCCTCAAAGCGAGTGATTTCAGGGCCGGCGTGAACTGCCCCAAGCCTTGTCGCTGCGTGGTTCAGGTCACATCTCCGCAGGGTGCCCAATGGGTTGAATCCCCTTGCACCCCCTTCCACACACGGTACCAGTGCTTGTCCTTAGGATGTTCTTTCAGTGAGGATGTGAATGCTGTTGTGTGCACCTGATGGCACTTTGTTAGGAACAATAGCCTGTGGTCTTCCCTCCCCTTGAGTATCCAGCCTTGTCCCCTTCTTTGTCCCAGCGATCTTCTCGGCCTCCTGTTATTGAGCACAGTGTGGCGTGGCTCGTCTTGGGGAATGGAATAGATGACATCAGACTCGAATTTATCTTTTGTTCCTGCTTCACTGTGGCTTCTGAATCCAGAGTAACTCTATCTGTAGCGGCCATAACAGCAGCAGCTGTCCTCACATCATGCTGACATGAATATGAAAATCTAGGGAGCAAACTCCAGTGAGAGGATTCATAGTTTAGCAAATAAGGCATCCACTGTGTGGTGGTGGTTCTCCATTTTGGCCTCTCAAGGCCAGAATTGTTTGCATGTCTTAGACGTAGTTCTGGAGCAGTTTGTTCTCTCTAATGTGATCTCTCCCGATGCATGCATGCAGCTCAGGTTGGTCCTGTTGTATTCCCCCTGTGCCCAAAAAGTGGCAGAGAGGGTGGGTGGTGAATAGTTTTCCCAGTAGCCCATTGACTCAGGAAAGTCAGTGCTTTCTTTATCAAATGCCTTTCGTGCCTGGTTTTCCCCGCAGAAGCTGAACGATGTGGCTGCAGCTCTCTTTATAAGCAGCGATGAGGCGCACGTGGCAGATGGCGTTAGCATCCTGAATGAGCTGATCATCCCCTGCATGCACCTCATCATCAACAACGACATCTCACAGGATGACCTGGACGCCATTGAGATCATGAGAAACCGCTGGTGTTCTTACCTGGGACAAGAAGACATGGACGGTAGCATGCCAATCGCTTGTTTTCCTCTCCAGTCCCCTGTGTCCTGGCTGGGTCCCGCATCTGAACTAGGAAAAGACTTCACTGGCCATTTAAAGCACTCCCTGTGTCATTCATAGTATTTGCATGCTGTAGTGTGTAAAACCGTCTGCTCCTATTGCCCGTAAATGGTGTAGTGGAATAGTGTGATTGGGGTTTGTCCTTAAGCTACAGGAAATGTTTCCTGCCTGTTTAATGTTTTTGAAACAGGAGACAGATACCTCGGTCTCTCCTTGCTCTTTTTATCATCCTGAGTTTCCACCTTCCCAACCAGCAGATTTTGTTGGTCTCTTTTGTGTGCTGGCCTGGAAGAGGAGAGAACATCTGGGTGCCTCTTTACTTCTCAAGCATGTGGTATCGGATACACTCTGATGTTACCCTGCGATAGGGACACTACCAGTCACTTTTTTCTTACAGCCCAGAGCTTCATAACTACCCATCTGTTGGTATTGTGCTCTACTTTCCCAAAAAGTATTGAGGAATGGATGAGAGCAGCTCGCTGCCCAGCTTTGAAAATCAGGGTCCTGAATTGCTAGAGAATGCAATCTGCGTTTCAGTACTGGATGGCTGATTTGCTCCAGGTTTTGTGTCTGTATGATAAAATTAAGTCTCCCTGATTTCGTCTCAGCTTGAGTGGGAGGCCTGGCTAGAGGCTCTCAACACTGCTCTCTTCTACCAGCAGAGGGTAAACTTGCCACAGCAGAAAGAGGAGGCTTGTTCTCAAAATGTAGAGCAGGGAAGCTGAAAAGATTGGCTAGCAGCATCACTTCCCCAGGTCTGGCCTTACTGTACCTGCAGTTGTTTATTGGTGGTGATGGAGATGCGGAAGGAGCAGCACCTGCCTCTTTCTACCTCCGTTGTGTTCTGTAGACCAACCGTGGAGTCGCCTTCCTCCTCGCACGGTCATGCTATGTACAAAATTTCTTGGGCAGTAAGTTGCTGCTTAGTCTTTCAGAAAAAAGAAATGGGCATTATTGTTGGCACGTTCACCTGGCGAGTCTCAAGCCCTTCCAAGGTGTTGTCCGTCCAGGAGCAAAGCGCTGAGTCTGAAAGCTTTTGTTAGCGTTGAATGTGCTAGGCCTGCTGCGGGGATGACCCGCCTGGTATGCCGGTGACTGGATAGTGAGCTCACAGTTTGCTGTGCTCACTGGCAGCTTGAGCTGGTTCTGTGATGGGCACGTCACTAACTTGAAGACTTTCTTTTTCAATTTGCTTCTCTCTGCCCAACTGCTGTTTCTGTGCCTGAACAGAATAGTGTTGCTCCGGCTGTCCCAAAGCAGGTGGTTTTGGTTTCTCACTGTTTAATAGTCACAGATTTGACTCGTTATCTGTGTTGGCATTGGCACCGGTATATTGTAGTATATAGGCAACCATCGTGGTCAACATGCCAGGTGCCCAATGAATCTGCCTGTGGCCAACGAGTCCAACTTGAGAGCGACACAGCTTGCTACAAGTTTCCAACGTGCGGTTTGCTTGATTTTGTTTTGGCCAGGATGGATTGGGTTGGGGCATGGCTTTTTTGGCCTGCCTTTTCTAGGGCCTGCCTCAAGAGAGGCAAGCGGGCCACCCTGTAATAGGGCTGCTTGGGCACCTTGGCAGGTTCCTTGTGCCCCTTATGGAGTCCTGCGACCGTCACACCAAGACCTTCGACACGTGCAGCTAGGCAGGAGTATGGAGGAGTGGAGGCTGCCTTAGACCTACCATCACTCCTTTACACCAGTAAGAGTCCAAAGCCCAGACTGAGTCCAGACGTCCAGTGCGTTGATACCAGAGAGCAACAGATTAGAGCGTCTGCTGACTGTCTAATGCCTCACCGGGAGCATGTTTCTATCCGGGTGATGTCCCTTAGCCGTTCTCCAGCCAAGGAGAGCCCGCAAGGCAGTGGTGGCCAGGGGTTTGCGGTGTCCTGTACTCACCTTGCTCAGGAGGCTGCAATGCTGTGGTATTTTATAGGAGCTACCCTGCCACGAGTAGCCCCACCGCATTGCCACCAGGCCCTCCAGAAGGATGCAGGTTATGGCCATACCCAGGAGCTGGCATTATTAAGCTCTTGATTACTGGTATTCATGAAGGGTTGAATGACTCCTGGTCTGTTTTGGCTCCAGTGCATCAGTCCGAGACTGCGAGGGCTGACACTTTTTTTTAAAAACTGAGTGTCGTTGAGAAAATGTGCCTTGCAAATGCTCTCGGTGTTGCAGAATTGAGACGGGGATGACCATGTCATGCAACCTGGGTTCAGGGGAACCAGCGGGTCAGCAACAAAGGCAGCATATTTTGGTTTTCCTTGAGATAAGAACAGCGAGTTGGAAGTACAGGTTTTTTTCTTTTCACGGAGCCATTTGATACCGGCCCTTGTCAGAGGTAAGATACAGGACTCGGCAGACGGTTGGCCTGGGTGCCTCTGCTCCACCAAACCGTACGCGTTTCTGTGCACTCGCCACAAGCGGTTCTCAGGCTGGGAGCTGCTGGTTGGTAACGAGCTCAAGCAGATCAAATGAGCTAACTGCTTTGTTCTTGCGACCCTAACACCTGCAGTTGTTTCAGTGTGCTTGACTTTTGCCGTCCTCTCCCCTCTTTGCAGCAACTCTGCAAATGAAGCTGGGTGAATTGCTCCCCAGGCTGCTGGACTGCTCTGCAGAGGTGATTGTCCTGAAAGAGCCCCCGAAGATCCGGCCCAACTCCCCCTACGACCTCTGCAGCCGATTCGCCGCCGTGATGGAGTCCATCCACGAGGCCTCAACCGTGACTGTGAAATAGGCCGCCGACTTCTCAGCGGTAGCTGTGATATATTGTAAACCACTTAAGTGCGCTGAATCCTGCCATCGGACGTGCGAGCGGGTGAGGGAGGAAAAAGAGGTAGACCATTCGCATTCAGACAGACCTAATGCATACTTTGTAAATATGAGGGGAGGGGAAAAAAAGACAGAGTTGCACTCTTGCAATACCATTGTAAGCTGAAATGCAAAGAGCAGGAACACCGTACCTCAGACTGCTCAGTATGTGACTGGCAATCGCAGCTGTCTTGCACTGACAAGGATATGGAAAGGGCTCTTTGAATATTGTGGCACTCCTTTGAAAAAAAAAAAAGTCCATCAGGAATAAGTAGTTGGGACTGTGTGGACAGCGGGTAGCAGAGCCGGTCAGGACACCAACCAAACTAGCAAGTGTCGCCGACCTGTTAGGCTCACCCGCACCTTTCTAACCTCTCAGGTGCAAGAGATTAGACATCCATATGTGCCAGCAGCTTGGCAAGCAGTCCAAGTTGGGTGATTAAGTAGCGAGGAACGATAGCCACAGTGGATACAGTGCAGGCCATCATTCATGCAGCTGCATTTTTTTTCAGTTGAACCAAGCCCAAGAAAAGGGCACCTCTGTTTTTCAGCCAGCAAATACACTGGGCTCTTCTTCTGAGGGAGATGAAAGTCAGCGGTGACAGGGCCGTGAGACAGGACAGGCGTTCTGCACCTTGGTCAGGGCCATGGTCATAGCTCACTGGCTAGAGAAGAGACCCCTTCCCCGCCATGTCCCCCAGAGAAATGGAAATATGTGTTCCCCTCTCAGAAGTGAACATAGCTATTTCCTCCTCCACCTCCTGTAAATTGTAATAGTGAGTTATTGATGATGAACAGGAACACTGGACACACCTGGAGAACCTGGTCTGCTTTTATATCCTTCGGTGATGATGCATCTGGGCAATGGGGAGAGCCCCAGCTGGATGCGTTTTAAAGGCCGTTTGCATTTTATTTGGATGATGATAACATTGTTTCAGACAAGCTGTTCCCAATAAATGGGAAGAAATCCTGTTGGATAGGAATGTGCAGGTTTTATAAACATGCAATAAAAGCAGTTGTTTTATTTTAGAAAAAAATAGCTCTCTGGGTTTTGTTTTTTTTCTCCCCCCCCTTTGGTATGGTGTCCCAAGACACGCTTGTGCCTCAGCGGGAACACAGGAAAAGAGAGCAGTCACCCACAAGATGAGTCTGACATGGCTTAAACCTGTTTCTCAAGTTACAAAAAAATGCAAAAAAAAATTGCCATGACATTTTCGCTGTGAAGAAAGAGTGGCCTCTAGAGGCAGACGTCTTGTGCTGGGTGGTATGGTGGTGACCCTCCTGTTTGTCCCTTAGGATGGATAAAGCTGTTGGAAACGCGAAGCGACTTCTGCTAGTCAGGGGTTGTAGAGTTGGTTCACCTCCTAATTATCAGCCTTCAACAAGGCTCTTAACAGCATTTCCACTCGGGGCTTGGCAACGCCACTGCTGCAATAGTTGCATGCTGCAAATTGTAGAGCAGGCCAAGAGGAAGTACTGGTGCTTTTCTGCCCTGGGGTTAAGTGCGACTAGCCGTAAGCATGCGTTGCTTGTCTGCCATGCAGCCTGAAGTCTTGTTAGATAGTGCATGAGTGCAAGGTATAATGTAGCTGAACGGGGCTCCAGCAGAGTTGTGTCTACCCCAAGTCCCCTGAAGTGAAGTGAGGGTGGGGCGAGCTGCAGTTGCCCTTTGAGTTGTCCTCCTGTCTGGGTTTCTATCCAAGTGTTGTCTCATGTTCAAAATTAAACAGTGTGGCTGGAGGTGCGCATTCCTCTCTGCTTTGAATTAGCTTTCTAATGGGAAGGACAAGTTTCTAGCCCTTCTGGCAGCTGCCTTTTGTCTCGAGGGGCACCAGCCCGTGCTCAAGGAGCAGGCTTTAGACAGTCGCAGCACCCTTGGAGAGAAGGTGTGTGTATTCTCAGTGGTGACATGCACTCCCCTTTGAATATGAGGGTCTCCTGAGACACTGGAGCGTGTCAGAAAGGAAGGGCCAGATGGGAATATAGAGATGGGGATTACGTCCCCTGCTTTCTGCTAGGCTGGTCGGTCTCCCATTGAATTTCACACGTGGTTCGGATGTTGCTAACCAGGGCTGAAGTCTCCTAATTAACGGGGGATGCGCAGCAGAGCCCTGCTTTAGCCCCTTTCTGTGCTGAGCCGTGCCGCGTTAGGCCGGGCATTCAGGCAGCCTGCGGGAAACTGCCATGTCCAAGAACGCAGCTGTGAATAACTTAGTCACGTTAAATTAGTGGAGAGGAGGGCAGAACATTCAGCTCCCGCAGCTCGGCGTCGTGTCGATCCGTTTGGGAACACAATGTTTTTTGGTTCGTATTCAGGGGCTGGCATCAGCCCGGACTGAGCAGAAGCATTCTCGTTTGGGTAGGTCAGCCTCTGTTAGCGATTAGCCAAACCCAGGCTAATTGCCAGCAATGGAGAGGGAAGGGGGCACCCTACTCTGAGACTCGTGGGGTCAAAGAAGAACGCAGATGCTTAGAAGAGGCCGTGGATGCAGAGATAGTCACGATGAGTGGATTTCTGCTGGAGTCCAGACTTGTCCGTGGGGTGGTTTGCTTCGTCCGTTTGTCTTTCCTGGTTATGTAACCACAGGAGGTGATAGTCGCCCTGCTTTCTCCCAGCTAATGCTTTAATATCAAAACAGAAAACACCTGTTGAAAGAGAGCCTGTCTTCCAACATGCACGCACCACAAGCCTGCCATGACCTTTCTAAGGAATTATACAGGGCAAGGATATCTGGTGGTTTGACGTGATGGTCTTATGTGTATGGCACAGCGTGCCCAAGGGCAGCACAATGCGACTCTCATCCCAAAAGGAAGTGGTGGTTATGCCCTACTTTCACGCATGCTGTCTGTTCATGGTTTTGAGTTCAGTAACACGCTGCAGACTTAGGTTCGGGATAGTTGCATGTCTGATCCCCGGAGGGAGGGAGGTCTTGGTTCGGAGGTGCCCCTTGCTCAGTGGCCAGCTAAGTTTGAACCAGTTTGGGCCTCGGAAGTAGTTCACTGTAGCCTTCTGCACCACGTAACCCACAGCTGTATTTGCTCTTCGCCACCCCTGCGGACTTCCCCTCTGCTCTGTTATCTCGAGACACTAGTAGCTGCTGCATAATTTCAAGCCCCGTATGTCACGCGGCTGCAGAAAGCCACCCCAGCCTGTGAAGGACGGGGATGTTGTTTTTGGGAGCGTAAGCAGATTTAGCATGTTGTAGTTTGTGCAATCCTGAGAAGATTTCCCTGCCCCGGGCCTTTAAATTACTACCAGCAAGGTAATGGCTGACAGGCCTCCCACCCCACACCCCGCAAAGAACAATAAACATTAGGAAATTGGACCGGGCTCCGAACGTGTTTTCATTAAACAGTGCCCATTGAATTCCTCCGAGGGCTTTCTGTTGACATTGGATCAGGCCTTAAAGCTGTGGAGAGAAAGGGGAGCGTGTTCAACCTAAGAGTCTGGGCTGTCACAACATCCTCCACTCGCGCTCTTGCCTTCCCTTTCCCTCGCCCATATTTTTATTTCCAAAGGGTGCGGAGGTCTGAGTTACAGCCAAAACAGAGTCGCTTTGCTTTGTGAAGTTGTCAAGCCTTTGGAAAACAGCTAATAGTTTGTGTAAATCTTTGCAAAGCGCATTCACCTGCCAAGAATGCTGCCCTTCTCGCCTCAGTGTTTTGCATCTCTTGATCCTCATTGTGAAGGATGTTGCATGAAACAGGACTCCTGGCCGCACTCTTCGCTCCGAACTCCACCTGCAGTGGACCGGCTCCCGCCGCCACCACCTGTGCTGCCACGAATGCAAGCGTCCGATTTAAGGGGCGAGGGGAAAGGCGGCAGCCATGAGAATCCTCTTCTTGTGCAAGCTAAGTGGACATTAAGGTGCCGTGCAGTGGAGCCATGGGAATCAGTGGCTGAGCCTTTTATGTCCCATCAAGAGGTCCCTGGCTGCCCCTTGCAGGGGAGTTTCATGTTGTGCCCGGCTGTCGACCTCTAAGAGAGGAGGCCCATGGAGGAAACTTTTCAGAATGAAAAAGTCCTGTGACTCCTTCCACATCTTGCTAACATGAGCCCTGAGGTTTCACTGTAGGCATTGGAGGCCTGATCCACAGCCTGTTGGAGCAAATGGGGAAGATCCCCTGTTGGCTCACGCTTGGAGACCCTACAGGGGCACTTAGGATGGGAAGTGGTGTCCTGGATCCTCGATTCCATTCCCAGGCAATAGGTAACTCAAAGAAATCCCCCAGATCACCACTTAGGACCTTCCTCTACAACTGCAAGAGACGCCCAACAGCACGTCATAGGGAAAGCCAGGGAGACAAGGGTGCTGCCAGTCCCTGGGAAGTGCTTGGTTAATAGAGGGTCAGAATATGCCAGGAAAAGACCCGTGCCCCATGCTACAGCAGAAGGCAGCACCCCACAGAGTCTGTGGCAGTCTGATTTTAAGGAGAAAATCCTTCCTGACCCCAGATTTGGTGACAAGCATGAACCTGCGTGGAAGAGCAAGACTGTACGCAGAACCCTCCGGTTTTCCTAATACTGGTAGGACTGTCTGTACCCGCACATCAAAAATACCCCAACCTTCAAGTAGCTGCTTGATCATGGCCAGAGCGTGCAATCACTTCAAGTAAAGATGGGCAGAGCTGGAAAGCTTGGGTGGGGAGGACGGGTTGTTTTGGAAGCTCTGGATTTCCAGTTTTGGGCCCACATGCAAGGTTTCTGATATGTCCTAGGTTCAACCAGGCTAGAAAATCCCATCTGCGTGTGTCGGCAACTCTGCCCTTCATCTCAGCTGGAGCAAAGTACGAATTACAAAACTGAACTTTTAAAGCAGAACTGGACTTTGCTTCTCAAAGGAAGTCGGTTTTCTGTTTTTGGATGGGAGCCCCCCGTGCTTTGTTGTCGCAGTCGCGGCCCGTATTGCAAGCAAAAGTTTTAAAGGTAGCGAAACAGAAGTGTCCGGTAGCACAGTTGCACCAAACTGATTCCCAACCCGGCCCGCAGGGGTATTGAGCCGATTTCTCACATCAGGATTAGTCAGTGCACGTGAGCATGCAGTTTGTACGCAGCCGACGGCAGCACGTCGGGGAGAAATCTTTAGACGGACCCTTAAGGCTCATTGCTGTCACTACACAAGTGAGCAAGACAGCCTTCTAATTGAGAGCCTGCGATACTCCACAGTCTCACTGAGTGCAGCACTGCTGCGGGCCTGGCACCCTTCCTGGACTCAACAAATCTAGTTTTTGATATCAAGCAATTTTTTTTTTGCTCACTAAATAAACTAAGAGACACCCTACGGCAGCATTGCCCCTGCAGCTACAATATTGTCTTTACGCTCTGTTCCAGACACAGGGACTTCTCCAGAGTACAAAAACATCTCGCTCTTTACTTGAATAATTTATTTGGAATACATCGCTATGCAACGGACAGTGAAAGAGGGAACTTTCAAAATTGTGCACAGTCGTTACAATCAATACATTCGCAACCATCGGAAATTTTCAGTGTAATCAGTGACAGGCTATAGGGTACATGGGGATAGGCATATGAAGTGCTCTTTACTGCTCTGGGTCCCCCCTGGGTGGCTTTATAATGCTAGGCTCAGTTTGCAAGTGTGGCAGAAAAAAGCTGTTACTCTCGTAAAAGTTAAACACACAGAGGAAGGAAAGAAGATTTGCGACACTGTCTTATGCATAAGCAAATCATCCTGTAAAACATTATGGGAACTGGCTCTGGGATCGCGAGGGCCAGTACCTGTGCACAATTCTGTGCTGGGAGTCCTAGATTACCAGGTCGGCGTTTCTGGGATGTGAGGGGTGGCTCCAATGTGGCATCCTGGCCGGGCGCTGGATCCTGGCCGCTTCGTGACGAGCTGCTAACGGTTTTGCCGGCATCTCAGTCCTTCCCGCGCAGGGGGAGCAGAGAAGGAGCAGCCCCCCCACCACGAGGAAAAATCCAGCAAACCAGCCCAAGAACATCGCCTCCCCAAATTCCCACCGCGGGACGATTTCCGGGATGGTCTCGTCCCAGAACTCAAGCACCGTGTTATAAGCAACCCAGGAAACGGGGGTGAGGGTCACGATGCCGGACATGCCAAAAATGGCCCCTCCGAAACACACCAGGCGTTTCCTTAGCTCCGGCTTGTCTTCCCAGGGCTTCCAGCAGTCCAGCCCGAAACTGGAGAGCACGAACCCCAGGAGCCCCAGCCCGTTGGAGAGGCACATCAGGATTCGGGATACCCGGAGGTCCAGCGGCAGCGCCAGGAAAGAGTCGTAGGCTTTGCACTCCATGGCGCCTTCCTCTTGGATGATGCAGACCTGCCAGAGCCCCATGTTCCAGATCTCCAGTTCGTTTAAGTCCAAGTTGAGGTTCTTCCAGAGTGGCGCGTACGTGGTGACACAGGACGAGACCCACCCGAAGAGCGAGAGAAACATGCCACTCAGCTGAACTTTCCTGTTGCAGCTCCAAGCCATGCTAACGCTGCGTCTGTAATCTGTGCCCCGGCTCCGCCGCTGGCGGGGCTGAGATAAGCTGAGGTGCTGGAGCAGAAGCTTTTGGTATTAACGCTTTTGGAGCTGTGTATTTATGGTGTGGATTTCCATGAATGTGCTGTTTTCAGTGGCCGGGCTATTGACAGAGAGCTGCTATTTGTTTCTAGCTTTCTGAGGAACAGCGTGGGGAAAATTCAAGCTTATACCACTAATTCCTGGGTGTGGCCACAATCATTTCATGTCTTGTTGGTTTTACTGTATTTAAAAAAAAAAAAAAAAAAGAGTCCGTAAGTAGTCCTGGCTAGGCAGGAAATACGAGGTACACGAGGAGCTGAAATTCAATGCTAGGGAAGCAATCTATCAAAGCTCATCAGCCAATATCTCGGCGTGTGCAGCACTTTGCAGCTTCTGCAGGGTGGCCCGTCGCCAGTGCCCGCGCAGCGTGGTTTTCTGGCCACGACGCAAAGCCACAAGCCCGAGCAGCTCTGAAGTGCGGCCGAGCTGTTCCCCTGCAGCCTGCTGGAGTCTCCTGCTTGTTGCTTGTGAGAGTCCGGTGTGGGAGGGGATGTCCCGGTGCCTCCCGCTCCCGAGCTTCGGGCCCCGGGCTGCGTGGCACTAGTTGGGTTGTCGGCGCAGGCTGGGCGGTACCCTGGCGCGGGTGGGCGCTTGCAGGGATAGTGGTTACAGCTGCGTTCCCACCTGCCTTGCCCGCCCAGCTGAGACCCAGCCGGTGCAGGGGAGCTGCAGCAATGAGCAAGAGGGAGGAAGAGGAGCAGGGATGGAGACTTGGGGAAGCAGGGGGCTTGTGTGCAGGGGGAAAGGCAGGGCAGGGCCGTGGCACGGAGGCTGTTCAGGCGTGCACATCGGAGGGTGTTGGCTGGAGAAAAGGCCCTGCGGGGAGAGGAGGGCCTGGCTGCCCCGGTGCTGACAGATGAAGACAATACCGATGACGCCCGTGCTGCCGCACACAAGAGGGTTAAGCACTAAACACGCAAATCCCCCGGGCCTCAGGACCCCTGAGGTGAGAGGCTGGGCTTGGCAGGGAAAGTGCCACTGGCTGACGGGCAGCTGCATGAGCACGGGGCTGGGTGGGGAGGGAACCGGCAGAGAGCTGGAGCCAGATCCCCTAGCCCCCTGCGACTCGCCCCTCCTCGCAGGCCTGCTCAATGCATCGTCGCTCGTCCCGAAACACGTCTCCACGGAGCAGGACCCCGAGGGTGTGCATCGGGCCCCACGGTGCCAGCATGGAGGGCAGCACCGCCTGCTTGCTCAGGCCTCCGTGGGAAGGTCGCCGGCTGCACAACCCTCTTATCGCTGGCGCCGCGGTGGCACGAGGTGCTTTCCCACCCCCTGCCGGGGCTCACGGCCCTTTCACGGGCAGGAGGGAATTAACCCATGCCGCCTGCATGGTCCAGTCGTGGCTCCATCACCCCGGGCCAGCTGCTACAGGGACCGGAGACCTGACTCCCACGAAGCTGTCGCGGTGGCCCGAGGCCCACAGCCAGTGGGGGATGGAGGAACCGGGAAAGCTGCCGCTCTTTGCATCTGCAAGCCAACTCCCCTCATCCGTCTCTGATGTAGCAGCCGTCTTGCAAGGCAGCCAGCGTCATGTCCAGGCCCGCACGGAGAAGGATCCTTGGCCGATCCTCTCTCCCCAGGAGGGGCCCATCGTGCTGGAGGCAAAGGCAGGGTTCCCCCCCCGTGCTGGCAGCACCTTCCTGAGCCTATGGTGAGCGGCTTGTATCTGCTGGGCTTGGGGAGAAGAGGAGATCGCGGCCCCTGTGTCAGGCAGCAGATGCTGGTGCTTGTGGGAAACATCCCTCTTCCCTGCCTCCTTCCCAGAGACCCAAGGAGCAAACGTTTTGCGCTGGAAACCCCTCATCTTGCAGCCAGGGCCAGGCATGACGGCAGGAGGGGCTCGGCATGGGGGGCTTCTGGGGCAGGCACAGGACCCCCAAAACCCTCACTCATTGCAACAGCCTCTCTGGACTTAGCCCTGATGTGGCCCCGTGCATCCTCGGAAAGTGCTTTGCATATGTTCCCCCGGCGATAACCCCACGGGCTGGGCTGAGCTGCTATCTCCTTCCAACGATGGAGAGTCCAGGACACAGATAAGGTGCAGAACAGGCCAAGGAGCCATGGCGGAGCCGGGACACGACCCCTGCAAACCCCACTGCGGGGAGAGGAAGATGACCCCGTGGCATTGAAGGCTCTTGGGGGCCCCCGAGGCGCCTGGCGACCCGGCCTGGCCAGCTGTCGCTCCGTGCCCAGACACGCAGAGGGAACACCATGTCAGGCTTGGGGAATTTCATCTTTATGGGGGGGATTAGTGCCTAATCCCTCCCTCATCTGCCCGCTTTGTTATCAAGAAGGAGATTGCGGGGCAAGGCCGGCGAATTACGGCATCCTCCTCCTGAGAGCCAGGGGGCTGGCACGGCCGTGGTCGAAGCCACGTCCATGGCAGAGCTGGGCATGCATGCGGGGCTCACACCCCGTAGCTGGAGGTGGTGGGGCATGCTGGATCATCAGGGTACCCCCTCATTGCAGCGATGAGCACCATCGCCCAAGCCGAGCTTTGCCGCCAGCCCCGCGAGAGCCGGAGCAGCCAGTGATGGGGCAGCTCGGTCGAGGCAGGTGCAATGGTGCCAGGACCAGCCGAGGCTGGGGATTGTGCTCTCTGCAGAGCTTTAGGCCAAATGGGGCGGGGAAAGGGCTCTGCCTTCCGGCCGTGCTGCCAAGGCCTGTCCCCTTGGGGTGTCCCGAGGAGAGAGGCTGCCCAGGCTGGCTGCGCCCCCCTCCACCCTCCGTCCCCGGGGCACGGTCTGGGTGGCTGTGGGAGCTCTGCCTTCTGCGCTCTGCCTGACAGATCAAAGGCAGCAGGATGATGAAGCTCCCGAGTGAAACCTCGGTGCTGACGTGTCGGGCAAGGTGTTCTGCTCCGCTTGTGATCACAGGAACGTCAGCCCCGGCTGGCAGCGAGGCCGGCGTCTCCCTGCCCCCCGCCTGGGCAACGGGCTGGGGCAGCACGGTGTTTGCAAGGTTGGCATTCCTCTCCCTACGGCTGGCTCCGGGCCGTGGCCCACCGGGGTGGGCAGGGGCTGACTCAGCCTCTCCAGGATGCAGACAATGGGCACGTCTCGCCCTATGTGAGCAGCCCAGGGCATTTTGCCAGGCTGCAGGTCCCGCCAAAGCACGCCTGTGCCCAGCCCCAGGGAGAAGGGAAGAAGGGGCCAGCCTCTGCCATCACCCCAAGCACTCTCCTTTGTGCTGCAAGCCTGCCTGGCCTGCCCCAGGCCCTGCGAGCATTGCTCGTGGTTGTTCGGGTGGGGGACGCCTGGGCACCAGACCGAGACGGCCACCCCTTCACTTCCCAGCCACCCCCGGAGGGGAGGGGAGCTTCTGGCTGCTGGAATTTGAAGGGGCAGCCGAGGTCGCACGTCCCCCCGCCGCCTCGGGGCACGGCGCTCCCATCCCGCACGTAGGAGGCTGCTGCGCTCCTTCATCCCAGGGATGCTGCATGCACCTAGGACGGGAGCTGCCCCCTTTCCTGAGAGCCTGTCACGGGGAGGTGAATCTACCACCCTTAGGCTCGGCGTCCCTGAGCCCTGGATCCCCAAGCAAGACGAAGTCACTTGCGTTTGGAGCCCTCGTGCCCCACAGGCTGCGGCTCAGTGGGTATTTATACCTTGGGGGCTACCCGGGCTATTTTAAACCTCTGCTCAGTAGGGAACCGGCTTTAACGGGAGCATGTGGCTGCTTCTAGCAGCTCCATTTCAGGAAGGGGTTTTCCATTGACTCCATTGCAGCCCGATTGCTGCCAGTGCAGCAGCAGGATCGTGGCCCTGTCTGGGGAGTGGGACCTAGAGGGGGGAGCAAGGCCACGTTACACCAGGGTGTACATGGGCATGTGCATGGCCCCTGGGCTGATGTGCTATTTGCAGGCCAGCAGCTCCTTGCAGAGGATACCCCGCGGTGCTCCTTGGCTGCCTCTCTTCTTGCAACCCATCGTACACGTGCAGCGGGTGCAACAGCAGCAGTCTCTGCACCAAACGACCCCGTGGTGGTGGCAGGAACGTCACTTCCCCTCCATGAGCGATGCTGGCAGCTGCCCTGTGATGAGGGAAGGAGAGCATTTGCTCCAAACTTGGGCCTCCTGGGTAAGTACCTAACCAAGCCGTGGGCTCACCCTTCCTCCTCCTCGGCTCCTGGGAGGTTGAGCAGGGCTCTGTCTGGAGCTGGAAAGGGAGATCCCTCCTGCCAGCTGCAGCAGAAGCACTAGGAGATTAACCCTGCAGGCGCCAGCATCTCCAAGGCAGCGTGGCTCCCCCTTGCCCGAGCCTCCCTGATTAAATCATCTTGAGGTAATTCTGCGTGTCATTGAGGAAGATTAACGGGTGACCTTCTTCTCCCACAGCAGGATTGGAGGCAGCCGCCGTGCTCCTTGGCCCTCCCATAAGCTCCAGCCATGCGGGCCAGGAGAGGATTTGCCTCCAGAATGAATGGGAAGATGCCTGGCGGTGGACGGGACCCGGAGCGCTAGGCTGGCGCCAGCCCGGGGCCAAGGCTTCAGATGGTGCTGGGACCGCCGGCGGGAGCAGTAGCAGCCCCAGGAGGGATCGTGGCACACGGACTGCCAGCCCCGGCCCCTGTCGTGGTGGGCACGATGAGGTAGGTGTGTTATTGTGCCGGCTGCTTGCAGACGGTGCGCGGTCGCGGCAGGGGTCCCCCTGGCCAAAGTCAGCCCAAGAGGGCTCTGGGGTCAGACCCGGTCTCTTAGGAAAACTGGCGTTCATCTCTTCTGCTGCAGGGCTGAAGCAGAGCAGTTGGCAGCTCTGCACGGCAGCAGGTCCCTGGGCCTAGATGGGTGTCTCGGAGCTGAACCAAGAAGTCTCTGGCTGCTTCTTCTCTGCCCTTGGTGGGAGGACCTGGAGCACTCCAGGACGCGCATGGCGCTGTACATGGGCCGGCCTCGCAGCTTCCCCTGTGCCCCGGCAGCAGGCGCTGTGGTGGGAGGCATGGGTGCACGGCTCTATGCGGCAGGCGGGCTCTGTTCTGCCAGGAGCAGCACTGACTTTCCAGGCTGGACTTCCAGGAACGCAGCATCACGAGCACTTCTTTTGCTGGGATTGAGCCTGATGTTGCAAGCCAAGCGGGCAAGGGAGTTGCCAGCTGAGTGGCACTGGGATTCCCCGTCCTACCCCGGTGTGCCACTGGGTCCTCCATTGTAGATGGGTCTCCGACGGGGTGGAAGGAGCAAGGTGGGTGATGCCGGCTCAGGGGAGGGGACATCTCAGGTGCGGGGTGCTGAGCTGAGCTGAGCTGAGCTGCTTCTCTTTGCATCAAGCAAGGTGAAGGGGGAGCTCTGCTGGGCCCAGCACAGCCAGGCTCCATCCAGCTCTTCCTGGGGCAGCAATGTGCATCTCGGACAGACCAGCCCAGTGCCCCTTGCCCTGGCAGCGATGTCCTTGGACCTGGCATGGAGGAGGCCTGGAGCTGCCACAAAAGCAGAGCAAAGGCATTGTCCCAGGGACTTGGCCTGCCGATCACACTTGTGCTGCCCATGCAGCGATTCGCTGCCAGTGTCTGGTGAGGGGCAGTCACAAATACTGTGCGACACTCCTAAGGAGACCTGAGGTCCTGCCCTCCAGGAGGGACCAAGCCTTGTCTTGTTGGTGGCTTTTGTTGGTGCCACAGGCCAGGGGCTGAGTGATGGGAAGGCTAACCAGGCAGCTCCCTGCTAGCCCTTGGGGGGAGATGTTGCTCCCTGGATCCCAGATGCCCCAGCTGTGACCAGAGCCCCATTGCAAAGACGGGCCCTGCTCTGAAGGACTTGCTAAACCAAGGCTGGGAGGAGAAACAGGTCTGGAGAGGGATGCGGGGCTTGCCCATGGCCACAGGGCAGGGTAGTGGCCGAACAAGGCATCTAGGGCCATTGTCCTGCCCAGGCTATGTCGATCGCTGGCTGCCTTGGGCACTGGCATTGCTACAGCGGTTACACCCTGGGCATGGCTGACTCTGGCAGTGACACCTCCCGAGGCAGCGCGAGTGCAGGGCTGGCGCACGGCGGTCAGTATCTGCACTGCAGAGAGGAGGCCATCTCGGAGGAGAGCCGTGCTGGCCACTTCCACGAGGCCTGAGCAGAGAGAGAGAGAGAGAGAGAGTGTGTGTGTGTGTGTGTGTGTGTGTGTGTGCACGCACGGGTGTGTTCAGCTGCATACTATGTGCCCCACCAGCACATGCGTGGTCTATTGCAGGAACAGCGTGCATGGTTAGGAGAGGGACCTGGGCCCGGGTGGGGTGGCAGGACCGGTGTTGTGGGATGCTAAAGGAGTTCCTAACCCCAGAAAAGTCCTGAGTTTAGAGGGAGTTGCACAAGAGTGCTCCTACACCCCCGTGGCAGGGCCTGTGTTCCTAAATCCCCTCAGCGCTTTTGGAAAGCGCTGTCTTTTGCCTCCGTTTCTGCTGCGGATGCAGCTCAGTTGAGCGGAGGTCTGCTCCCCTCCCGCATGGGCCTGTGAGAGCCACACGCCAGGTCTCTGCGGGCAGGAGCAGGGCACTGATTAAGGCCAGTCACTTGTTCTGAGATCAGCCCCAGCCTGGGATGGGGGAGAGGTGCCGCAGGGGCTTGGGTGCCATCTCCAGGGCCTCGTTCCCTTATTTTTTATTGAACCTCACCCAAGTGCTTCTCCTTGAAGGGACCGTTTCGGTCCTGAAGGCTGAGCACCATTAATGGCAGGAGACCGCATGGGTCACACAAGCTCAGCCCCTCCATTCAGGGGAGAGAAGCGGGCACCATTTGAGTGCCCCTGTTGCACAGCTTCCTCCCCAGGCTCCCACCAGCTCAGGCATTGCAAGCAGCCCACAGGCTGGTGCATGTTTGCCTGCAGTTCCTCCCGTGATGGCTGCCAGGCACCCGGCTGGTTTGCAAGCAGGGGAGTGGGCTCAGTTTACCCAGCAGCGGTGCTCCTGGTGGCACTTGCCCCCGGCTCCAGCTCAGACCAGTGCCCTGGGCTTGCCTGTACAACGGACTCATCCCTGGCAGGTTCAACCAAGCCGAGCTGCCTTGGTGCCGCACGACTGGTGAGTTTGCACAGCTGCCAGCTCCCTCGTGGAGTCTCGTGGCCAGTTGATGATTGTGCCTGAGCGTGGGATGGGAGAAGGGGTCTCTGGGAGGAGGAGATGGCCCATAAGCTGCTGTTCATGCAACTAATAAGAAGAGGGGCGGGAGATCCCTTGGCTCTGCACTGAGTCCTGTGAGGCCCATCCGCCCTGATGCACCTCTGGGAGCCGGATCGGGCCCGTAACTCGTCATGGGATGCCCACCCGAGTCCCACTGGGAAGGGGTCTTTCCCTGCGCCTGTCCATTCAGCCTCCCGGCATTGCCTCCAGCCTGCGCCTTCCAGCAACCAACATGTTATCATAGGGGCTGGAAGGGTGGCTTTGCCAGGCAAGGCCTGCTGGAGATGGACAGCCTTTCCCACTCTCCAGGCAGTTGGCAGAGCCCCGGGCATCGCCAGTGAAGGCTGAGTGGCCTCCTGTGGAGTGGCCGTGCCCGCGGGAAGGACCTGCCTCCGGTCCCCCGCCCACGCAAGGCTATTATAGCAGGTAATTGGCTTAGCCATCTGCTATGGCAGTGTAACCAAACACAGCTCCACGGCTCCGATCAGCCTTAACCCCATTATCTTAATGCAGGCTGCCCCGCCACCCCGGTGAGGCATGTCCCCAGACCCCAGCCCTTGGTACTGCCCTGTCCTTGGGACTCTTGTGCTTTCTAACTCTTTGCCTTTCTTGGATGCAGTTGGGCGGCACGGAGGAGCCCAGGAACAAGAGCTAGCAATCCCCTTTGCCTCTGTGCCTCCGGGTGCTGAGGTGTGGGAGCACGGCGGTGCGAGCCCCTGGGGCTGGGGGTGACCTGGCTTGCTCAAGAGTTGTAGGGACCCGGTACAGAGGAGGGGAGGTGCTGCAGTCACTCCAGGGTGCCAACCTGACAGAGCCGACTGCAAAGCAGGGGGTGGTTAGCGGGGAACGTGGGGGTCTTGCAATGCGGTTTTCACTGAAAGCCATGGGTGGAGGGGCCGCAGTCAGGTCAGGGCACTTCCCTGACCGCAGAGCTGTGGGACAGCGGTTGGAAAGCCTGCTTGGAAATCATCCCCCCATGTTGTCCTGGCGGCCTGCATTCACCCACCCCAGCACGTTGTGAATTAAAGGGGAAACTATCCCCCGTTTCCCATTCCTGGGAGAGGGCAGAAGCCATCTCCCAGCAGCAAGACACTTGGGTGGCAGCTCTACCGATGCTGCTGTGCTCAGGCTTTTTTGCTCAATGGCTGGAGACTTCCGTAGGCCGAAGGTTTCCCATGTGTTAAAAGAGGACGGGGATTGACCGCTTGCCAGCTGATCCACGGTAGCTGCCCCATCATCTCACGGTCACTGGGTCATGGGCCAGGACCCCAGTCGTGGGAAAGGTGCTTGCAGTCCCAGCTGCTAACGCCCACGTGAAGCCTCAGCTATTGCCACGTAGCTCTGGCAGGGACCGCAGCGCTCTGCGGAGGTACCGAACACCACCTGCAAGCCATGACTCCCTTCCCTCCCTCCTGAAGTCCCCCTGGCATGAGGGGACTGTGATGTTTCCCTGCCTGATGGGGTGTCACGACTGCGGGGCCAGGGGCCGGACGTGGGCCTCGCCGGCGGGGGGCAGGGAGCTGCGGTGCCAGACCGCAAGCCGCACCGATCCGTGTTGACACTCGTTCTGGAAACCGGTTCTGACAAAGAGGCTTCTGTGGCTGGCAGGCATCCAGCCTGGAGCACCCGGCCCCAGGTGGAGGGGAGATCCAGGGAGACGCAGCAGCCACGGTGCATGGCTGAGGATCCTGCCAGCCCGCGGAGACGCCTCCAGCGGTGTTTGCATTTCTAAGTAGTGTTTTGGGCCGCATCCAACTTCCCTTTCTATGAAGATATGCATTGTGACACCTGCAGTGTGGCGAGCCCTCCCGAGACAAAGCGCTGAGGCTCTTTTGGCATCGCGAGACGGACGAAGGGCCTGGTGCTGCTCTCCATCCATGGAGCTGTCTCCTACATAGCCCAGCGGCTTGGTGCAAGACCTTTGCAGCTGGCCTGTCCCTTTGGCAGAGGGGGAAGGAAACCAAAGCAATCACAGGAAGCAATGAGCTGCCCGGACTCATTTTCAGGGATTTGCGTCTGGCTGTGCTAATCCCACCCTGCCCTCGGCCCAGATTGCATCTGGATCCGGCACAGGGTGCTGCTGCCGTGCTAATGAAAAATCCTGCAGTTCGGCCAGGCCTTGGCTTCCTCCCACCGCGCCCCGATGTACATGCTCTGCAGTGTTACTGGAGCATGGCATGGGAGGTGGGTGCACAAATGTCCACACAGGCCCAGCCCCAAACCGAGTAAGTGCCACCCCGTTCTGCTGTGATCTTCAGGGCAAATAGCGGTGCTGGCTGTTTTGCTCCTTAACAGCAGGAGAGTCCACCCCAGGGCTGTCCATCCTGGCCGACAGAAACTGGTGTCTCTGCAGCAGTCAGGCATGAGATTATAGCCGTGATGAGTGTTAGGTCTTAAAAGTGCCTGGCTTGTGTTAGATGCTGTGCACCCCCAAAGAAAATCCTCCCCTTAGAGGTCTCCAAGTGTTAGGGGCTGGCTTAAATGCTTGGGACTAGGACCCAGCTCTGCCACAGACTCCCCCAGTGACCTTGGGCAAGTTGCTTGCTCTCTCTGTGCCTCAGGTCCCTGTGTATAATGCAGAGACAACGATCTCCCGCAGGAGCTGTGCGGGGTGGTAGGTGCTGTGGGATTGATGAAGCTTGTGGTAGTTATAGTGACCGGGGCTACCTGGCATTAGAGATGAAGCCTGAGCTCCCCGGTAGCTCTGCATATGGGTCCAGAGGCTTTAAACGACATGTGCTTATGCAGGCAGCATGGCCCCTGTGAGCAGACAGTGCCGGTGAGTCTCACGGACTGAGCTGCCTGCAGCCACACGTTCTCGCAGGCCAGACTGGAGGCTGGTGAAGGACCTTGACTGGCTCCCCAGCCTAGCAGGAGGAGCCCGGCCCCTCGGATGGCAAGGTGCCTTTATCAGGGGGTCCCCCAGCTAACCTAAGCCTCCTCTTTGTGTTTCCCCGGGCAGGGTTCCTCCCTGGCGAAGGTGCAAAGCACTGGGCTAGGCCCACCTGCCCACCCGGCTCAGCCATGGTGCTGCCCGTCACCAGCAGCAACATGGAGCTGCGGCAGGACAACGGCCTCTGCGTGCACAACGACGTGGGCAGCTGCCGGCTGACGTACGAGGAGTCCCGGAGCCGCCGGAAATCCATCCCCCCGGCGCAGATGCCTACGGCCAAGCACATGCTGGCCTACCTGCCCCGGCCCCCGACCGACACCAGCCGCTACGGCACCTTCCCGCAGAAGGTAGGGCCGCCGGCCTCGTGTTAGGGGGTGGGCATGGCGTCCTGGCCCACTGGACCCTGCTCCTGCCCTGCTTCCCATAGCCACCCTGGTGAGTCCAGGTGGCTCCGGGCAGGGTGGGGACACGCTGCCAGGGCATTGGCCCCAGAGTCAGGGCATGGGGTGGAGGAGCATCTCCATTTGGCCTCCCTGCTGCTGGTTCAGCTGGACGCAGGAGCCTGCTTCTTTGGGTTTTGCTGGTGGTGCCCCGACCTGGTGAGGGCTGCAATCCAGCTGACTTGTTCTCATCTCCCCCATAGCCTGAAGTGATGGTCATTCCCACGGGGCTGTCGGAAGAAACCCAGCTGCTGCCGGAGCCCACCGCCACCAGGAGAAGTGCCCTGTCGTCCCACTTCCTGCCCCTGCCCTGCAGCCCCAAGGACCGCTCCGTTGCACAAAGGAGGCTCAGCACGATGGAGCCGATGGGCACAGAGGCGGCTGCGCCCGCCAAGCACCGCCCCAGCGTCTCCATCAACACGGAGGACCTGCCCAGGTACCGGCGGGCATCCCGCAATGAGCCGCAGCCCCCGCTCCGGGACATCAACACCCGGTGGTACCCCCGGCATGCCCTCAGCGCGCCCAACATCCCCAACACGACACGCAGCAAAACACCCACCCGCAGCATCGTCTCCATCCCCACTTCAGACAAGTCCCAGAGCCGGCGCTGCAAGCTCATCGATGACGACCGCCAGTTCAGCTTGTCCAACAAGCAGCAGCGGCAGCGCTACGTGACCAAGGTGGGCAAGTGCCAGGTGAACCTGGGCCGCATCCAGGAGAAGAAGAGGTTCCTGTCGGACATCTTCACCACCATCGTGGACCTCAAGTACCGCTGGTTCCTCTTCGTCTTCATGATGTGCTACATCATCACCTGGCTGGTCTTCGGCATCATCTATTTCTTTGACGTCTGGGTCAGAGACGACGTCAACCACATAGGAGACCCCGAGTGGAAGGCTTGCATCGAGAACGTGGACAGTTTCCTCTCTGCCTTACTTTTCTCTGTGGAAAGTCAGAGGACCATCGGCTACGGCTCCCGGATGGTGACAGCCAATTGTGCCGAGGGGGTCATTCTGCTGATGATCCAGTCCATCATCGGGTCCATGATCGACGCCCTCATGGTGGGCTGCATGTTTGTCAAGATCTCCCGGCCCAAGAAGCGTGCCCAGACCTTAATCTTCAGCAAGCAGTGCGTCATCTCCCATCGGGACGAGAAGCTCTGCCTCATGTTCCGCATCGGGGACCTCCGGGACAGCCACATGGTGGACGCCAAGATCCGGGCCAAGCTGATCAAGTCCAGGCAGACCAAGGAAGGGGAGTTCATCCCGCTGGAGCAGTCGGAGCTGAACCTGGGCTACGACACGGGTGAGGACAGGCTCTTCCTGGTCGAGCCGCAGATCATCTGCCACATCATCAATGACCACAGCCCCTTCTGGGACATGTCAGCCGAGTCGCTCAAGAGGGAACAGTTTGAAATCATCGTGATCCTCGAGGGCATTGTGGAAGCCACGGGTGAGTGCTTTGGGGGGGTGAATGGGGCCCAGCGGGTGGGATGGTGTTCCCTCTCCTGGAGCCGCAGGCTGCACATGTTACACCCAGGTGAATTCCCAGACTGCTGGGTAACAGCTGCTGGAGGAGAGGAAGTGCTGGCTTCACTCTAGAGCCCCCAACCTGTTTCCCTGGCAAGTCACTTTATCCCTTCATGCCTTGATTTACCCAATCTGAGAAATGGGTATTCTAATCCCTCCCTCAACTTCTCTGGGCCTGGTGGGGCAGCCCATGGAGGGAGAATCCATGCCCCTGCCTGCTGTGCAATCATGCCGCGGGGGCTGGTGAGATGCTTTGGAGAGGAAGAGCTGGGAGCTGATGAGGATCAGGAGCCTAGTGGCCTGACCTGTCAGCCTCTTGCTCAGCAAGGCAGGGGTGGCAGGGATCGGGGAAGGCCCATCCATGGCACCTGGCACCACGCGAGGTGAGGAGTCAGCCCGCAGGCCTGCCCGAGGGCAGCAGGAGGCAGGAACCGCGGGCAAGAAGCCCTGTGCACCCATTGCCGTGCAGCGGGGAATGCCATGGCCCCTTCTGCCCTCCTGGCATGGCTCTTAATCCCTGCAAAACCCACAAGACTGGGGTAACGTGCTGTCGTGATCTGCAGACTGAGTGTCTGCAGATCACGACACTCAGTCGTGAACCAGCCGGCCAGGCAGCTCCTGGCACAAGCGGCTACGCAGAGCCTGGGCGGCCTCACAGCACAGGGAGCAAAGCACGTGTCCAGCATCCTCCGAAGGGAAAGGTGTGTGCTGGAAACACGCACGGGCCCTTCTAGGATGCATCTGCTCCTGGGCAAAAAGCAAGGAAGTCCATGGGGTCCATGGCACTTGCAGGTGGGCACAGCTCTCTTCCCATTACCAGCAGTTCCCCCAGGCAGCTCTGTGCATGTGAAAGGCCTGTATCCCTCGAGGCCTCGCCTTCCCTGGCTCTCCCTTCTCAAATGCAGGTGTAGGGACACGGTGATTGTGGGGGTGTGGAGGGATGACAGCACAGGGCATGTCCCTCTCCTGGTCATTGTGGGCATTGAAGCATCCTTTTCCCTATGCAGGTGGGTGGTGTTCTTGACCCGCCTCTCTTCTCCCCTAGTTCTGTGCGGTGCCCGTCCCGTATCCATCTCCTGCCTCAGTGCAGGGCTGGACTCGTGGCCCAGCGGCACCATCCAGCAGCGCCCGGGAGCTCTGGGCAAGGCGGCCACTTTGGGTTCCCCCTGCTGGTCACTTGTCTCGGGCTTCCACAGTCAGAAAAAAGGATGGAAAAGGACTGTGGCCACCTTGCATCTCCTGCCCAGCTTGTGCGAGGAGCTGGTGACGGAGCTGGCAACCCTGCATGAGGACGGTGGGGTATCCCCTCCCTGGGAGGACGGGGCTGGAAGAGTTGTGCTGCTTTTCAGCACAGGGCAGCCCATCCTGAGGGCAAAACCCTGCAAGAGTCAGGTGTGATGGCCTTGGGGAGGAGTGTCCTTGAGCAGGGACCCTCTGCAAGGGGAGATGAGCCTACTTAAAATCTGGTAGCAAAGCAGTAGGGGAGGGGCATGCCGCTGCATCCAGCACTGGGTTGTTCCCTAAAGGCTGGTCCCCGTGGCCACTCTTGCCTTTTGTCATGGTGACACGTATGGGAAGATGACTGCAGATGCGAGGGATGCTGTCGGGCCACTGGAGTCTGACCGCAACCCCAGCATGCATCGCTGTTGGAGTGAGAGTGGGTCCTGTTCTCCTGCAACCACAGAGAGAGCAGACGAGGGTTGGGTTCCTCCTGGTCCCCACAGCTGGAGCCAGCGTGGGTGGAGGTCGCCTGCTGCGTGCGTATCAGCCCACGGGCCAGTCTCGCTTTAGGTCCAGGTGCCCAGACAGTTTTGTCTGTGCAGGTCTAATCGTGGAGGGGCTCCTGTGGGTATCACTGCAAATCCATAGGCCTCAGTGGTGTGGGTCTCAGCCTGTGCTCCAGCTCCCTTTCCCCACCAGACCTAGTGCTCTGATGCAGACCAGGTTGGCCAGGACTATCCCACATACCCAGCCTCTGTCTGTGGCAGCATCCAGGGACGATACATCCTGTCCCCAAGGAAGCGTCCTCCTGACCCCAGGTAGAGGCTGTCCTATGCCCTGAGGCAGGAAGGCTGTGTCCTTTCACCGGGCATCACGATGCATCCGGTTCATGGTCCTGACTGCACCTGCTTCCTTCCCCCCGCAGGGATGACGTGTCAAGCCCGGACCTCGTACGTGGAGGACGAGATCCTCTGGGGATACCGATTTGAGCCCTGCATGTCCCTGGAGAAAGGGGCTTTCCGTGTTGACTACAGCCGCTTCGAGAAGACCTTTGAGGTGCAGACCCCGGTGGTCAGTGCCAAGGAGATGTATGAAATGAGGGAGATGGAGCACCAGGACCGCTCCACCCTGAGCCTCTACTGGGACCACATGTTGCAGCCCTGTGTTTCCACCGAGCTCATCGAGGACCTGCCAGGGGAGGGGCCCAGCGAGGATGTCCTGGCCAGGCTCAACATCCCCAACATCATGGAAGAGAGGAGCTCCGAGCTGCAAGCCCAGGACATCGGTGTCTAAGCTGCACCCCAACATGGCACGGCAGGAGGGGCCCCAGCAGGAAGGAGCCTGCTGCTTGCATCCCCCTGAGCGTGGGGGTGGGCCAGGGAAGGCAGGCTGCTGCCCAGCCATAGGGGTGCCCCAAACCCTTCGCCCAGAGGCTGCTCACTCTGGGCTGGAGAGGTCCTTGTGCGTGGCATGGGCAGCAGGCCGTGGGGAGCCAGTGGAGTGGGAGCCTTGGGTCTCTGAAAGGTTGGTTCATGGCATTTCTCAGTCACTGACTTGCAGTGGAGGAAACTCCCTGGCGCCCGGGAGGGTAATGCCATGCCCTCTGGCCTCTGCTGCCCATGCAAAATGCCCTGGGCTCCCAGCTCTGAGGCTGGTGCAATGCCAGGGCTATTGCAGCTCGAGGTGCCCCAGGGAAGGCTGCAGCCAGGGGAACTGCGCTCCACAGCTGCTAGTTCGCAGAATCCACCTCTGTCCCTTTTGGACGTTTCACCCTCGGTTCAGGCCATGCCCTTTGCATACTGCGGATGCCTGGCGCTGGTACCCCTGGCCCCGGCCCGGGCACTCCTGTGGAAGTGTCTCGTGCTGACAGTGCCATATGGAACTCACTCTCTCTGTGTCAGGTGCCCCTGGCCCTGCCCCTGTAGTCGGTCCTGCCCCTGTCCTCCGTCACCCCCAGCTCCCACACGCAGCCCCTCTCGCAGTCCCGGCTGCAACTCAGATGAATTATTTTTGCAATGTTCTGCTTTTGTAATAAGGACACCAGGAAACCAAGCCTCCTACGAGCCAGCAGGTGATTAAAGCCCCTTAAAAAATGGACACCAGCATTTTGCATGCATGCACGTGTGTGTGTGTATCGCCTCTGGCAGGCAAATATCTGGTTAGGGCGTTGTTAAAAATCGAAACCTGGTTTGCAGAGGTGCCGTCTGCTGCACCACCGATGTCAGCAGGACCGGGGATGCATTGCCTCTCTGCCTGCCAGGCCTGGCGTTCCTCTGGCCCAACAGCTGCACGAGGCTATGGCAAACGCCCCTGCCGGAGGTAACGGCAGGCGGGGGCCCTGCCCCAACCCTTTCAGCCACCCCACCCGGAGGTAACGGCAGCCGTGGCACATGCCACATCCATTACAGCAGCCAATCCCATTTTAATTGGGCCTCTAGAAATGCAGAGGGTCAAGTTAAGCTGCTGATTGCTGGATACTGGGTTTTCAACCATGGTAAATATCATGGCACGGGTGGTGAGAAGGTCCCTCAGCTGTGCAGTGCAACCTTGCAGTCTGTGGGTCAGCTGGAGAGAGCCAGACCAGAGCCGCTGTGTGAGCCTGGCCCTGCTGGATGGTGCAGAGGAGGAGGATGGGACAGTGACAGGGTGGGGGAAGCTCACACAGTTGCTGGGTCTGTTCTGCAGCCTTGTACAAATAACCCAAACTTCTGCACTCCCACCTGGCACCTCTCCCGGCCCTGGGAACGCACTCAGCGCTTGTCCTACTGCTTATAGAGGAAGCAGGTTTTTCCTTTTCCCTTCACCCTGTTTGATGGCAGAGCTGGCACTCAAACCGAATGAAGCAATCTGACATGGAGGAACAGCAGAGGACGGCTTCCAGCCTGCAAGCAGCTCACACCTAAAGCCTTTGGGCTGAGTTTGCTGGGTGGGGGCAGCTTCACTCCCATGTGAGGTCTGTCTGCCAGGCTAGAGCAGGAGACTTGCGTGGTGCACGGGTTTACATCTCCTGCATTGGTTTAAGGAACGTTCACAGAGGAAAATGCAGGCACCTGTGGACAGCATCCGACCATGGGGAAGGCGAGGAGGAAAGCTGGATGATTACATAGCCCAAGACTGGCAAGTGTCCGGCCAAAATGTGAGGGAGACGCAGCCGCTGCATGTATTAGCAGGGATATTTGCTGTCCTTGCATGCTAGGAGCCTTGTAAGTGCAGCTGGACGTCCAGAACAACTCTGCATCTCCTGCATCCTGGCAGACGCAGGCAGTGCGGAGCGGGGCGGACAGCTGTTCCCCCGCGAGCGGCTCTGCGGTTGTGTAATGGGGAAGCGGGTTAAGCCGTTTCTGTCACCGTCATTTCATAAAAAGGGAGATTGCTTCGAGGCATTATCTCCATCACATGCTCCTTGTCATGCTCCTCCCGGGATTAGCTCAAATATGGTGCAATCAGCCCCAAAGAGCCCTAGTTACTGCTTCCTGATCCCACGTCCACTGGGAGCTATTTTTAGCATTTAATTGCACTGGAGGCTGCAGCACATGCCCCGATAAGAGACGAACCCGCCTGGCACGCGGCTACGGTACGGGCGCTGAGCTGCGTGGCTTCCCAGCCCCTGGTGCTCTGTGCCCAGGCGGGGAGACGCACGCGGGGTGCTTTCCAGCCCCTGGCCCTCCAGTGAAACCAGCCCTTTCTGTGGGAAGGAGCCACGCCAAGCGAGTGTTGTAAAGAAGAGACTGTCAAAATGGCCAGGGGCCGTGCACGCCCAAAGCCAGGGTTTCGGGCCTGGAGCGACTTTTGTGTCCATGCTATAAGAAAATCAAAACGTCGAACTCAACCGGAAACCTCGTTGGGCTTTTCCCCTTCCTCTGTCCGCTCTGCTGAGCGGTGCAAGCAGGGGCACGCGGCTGTATCGGGGCCGCCGAGGGGGTCCCCTGGCGTCTCGTGACCCTGCTGCTGCATCCAGCCGGGAGCAAAGGTGGTCTCGACCGGACGGCGAGGGTGTTTGTGGCAAGGGAAAGGATGGAGCAGACTGAGCGGCGAAGGAGGCTTTGCATTGCAGACGGTGGGGGACGGATCCTGGCCTGCTCTGGGGCAGATGCTGCTCATACTGAGAGGCGCCCGGCCGCAGGGCGAAGGGCGAAGCGAATGCAGGCGTGCGGGCAGGAAAAGGCGGCTCAGGCGGCGGGCGAGAGTTAATGATACACGATGCCCAAGTGCAGGCCAGTGCTTTGAGGCGGGAAAACCAGGTCCTGCCTGCAACCGCGTCCAGACGCGAGCGTCGGCTGCGGATGGAGCACGCGGCGCCCAGGGGTGCTGGTGTGGGGACGCCCCGCGCCCACCCCTCTCACTGCCACCTGCCCCAGGGGGGGCACTGGGGGCTTTTCCCAGCAAACTCAAGCACAGGGGGCAGGTCTTGCTGGAAAAAAGAAGCCAAGAGGCAAGAATAATCCGCCTCCTCCTCCTCCACTTCGCACCCCCGCCCTCTCCCTGCTGTCCCAGGCAGAAAAA